AATTGCTGTTCGGATACCTATTGTCTGTGGTATTACAGTTATCTCTCAAAAGTTTGTACTATCTGCTGAGACTGGCCCTTCAGTATTACAATTGAATGTTAGGTAGATACTTGTATTTCTTAACTTATTATCTAAGCAGTAAGTTTCTTAATGCGCCGCAGATGTTTCAGTCGGAGTTCACAACTTCATTAAGACGCGATAGCTTGCCTGCGCTGGCCAAAGTTACCCCTCAGACATGCTCGAGCACCTTTGGACGGTCGTCTTAATGCTAACCACTATAGATGTATTCTGGAATGTCTTCCCCGGGCTATTTTAACCCGGGGAATCTTTTTTCGACTTAGGAACTCTCCTAGAACTTTTGCATTAGCCACTTGGTTTGTGCTTCTTTTACTTTTCCTTATTTATTGTGAGTGTCAATATTATATTTGTCGACATTCAATCAGCCATAGTTTATCTTCTTGACGTTCAGTTACCAAGTAGGTTGGTTAGGTAGTATTTATTTATTACACTTTTGTAAATTATATTATATTTAAACATTGACACGAACAACCCGAATACTGATTCTAACAATGTAACGTCAGAAATAAATTGTTATTATAAAAATATATAGATACACCCGAAACAGATATCGTTTTCATTCACAGTAAAATTCTAATGAAAAGATGTACGATCGTTTGAAATGCAACAATAAATTCAAAGAAATATTTAAACAAAGAGGACCCCTCGTTTCCGTTACGTCGTTTTAATGAATACCTCTTCGGAGGATTCTTTTCGCATAGTTCTGATAAAGAGGAGCGTCGAAACTTCAAATTAAGATTCTTCGAGTTCCGCGCGCGGGGAATAAGATTAATGAAGGATGGCACCTGAGGGTCGCCCGTTGCGCTAACGATAGGGACCGGGTCAAGGGGAAAATAAATGATTAAAATAATAAACCAACAAAAAACTCCTTCCAAGAGACTTCAAGTCTAGTAGTAGAACAATAAAAACATTTGAACCAAATCAATAGAATATATCGCCTTCTCGCATTAAAACTGTATAACCTCAAAACTTACGAAATTTTACAGGAGAGTGTTTTAAAGGTTTAACATATGATCTTTTTAATATTAATCATCTTTGCAATATTTATTTTTTAGTTTTTACCAGTTACAGTATCTGTGATTTAAAGTAAGATAAAATGATGTACATAATATTCAAATAATATAGTCAAAATATAGGTCAACTAAAAAAAAAACTAAAAGTACACTACGCTCTTTTGACAGTATTTATGAGAAAAATACTAGTGATACCAAATGATTCCGCATATTAACTCAATTTCGAATATTTTTGGAAATTGTACACTTTTAATGCGAAAAGACGTATTATTTTTAAACTAGCCGTTAAAACAACAAATGCACTATAAGCAATTTGCTTAACCACTATTTTATTTAAAACACTAAATAATACTATTGTTTTCTAATTTTCTAGTGCCGTAAAAAGGTAAGCGTTAGAGTTACAATTACATTTCTTTCACCTAAAGCTGTTTCACACGTAGAATCGAGCGCTTTGGATCATAAATAAGACAATATGTATGTGTCGCAAACAATGAGAATAATAGCAGTGCATAATGAGAAAATTGCTCGTTCGTTGCCGCTAGTCTGAATACCACAATGCGAGCCCAACAATAGCCCAGCACCCATATTCTCGGTTTGGACGTGTCGACTTTAATGATACAAAAAAGCGTTCGGGTAGTGGTAAAAAGGAACACCATTTCTGTCCGAAATCTTTATACTTAAATGTTATCTACGAATGACGTCAATTTAAAATTATTGGTGCTCAATTTGAACTAATTTTTTAATAGCGATCCAAAGAAAAAAAATTGGCTTTTACTAGATGGTATATCAAAAATAAAAAGTCTGAATTATCAAAATGTTTGTGACAATGTAGTAGGGAATATAGTCCAATCGTGTGGTTTATGTCCGGTTTGGTGCAACTACGGCGCAGTAAAGCGGCAACGAGCTACTTTTATTGCTTTTTGCATGTCAACCGTTGAGTTTATGGACGCAATTATTGTTAAAACAACGTGCAATTTATGGCAACCATGAACAGCGCTAATCAGCGAACTCATTTTTTTTGAGAAAACCTTTTTTAAAACAAAATTTTGTTGAATAAACTTTTCAGTCAGTTTTCAAGTTCTTATTTTTTATTTTTTTTTGTAATGAACCTAAATCTCGGAATGGATTATGAATGGTGATTAATATAAATCATATCCAAGTTCGAAAACTTGAGCGCTTCTCAGAGGCTGTCAATAGTCCGAGCAACTTGTCTATTTGGAAAATCAAAGACCGTGAAGTTTGTTAGGGAGTTGAATGAAAGGAATTATTATTTTGTTCGGAATAAGTAGAAGTTTTTAGAAGTAGGTTGGATTTCAAAAGGAAGACGATGCTGCTCAGCGAACTCGAAATTTCGCACAAATAGGTACATTTAGGAATGTCGTGGAACATTTACGTTTCTTAGGCAAACACACACACACACACGGGTAAGTTCACGAAGTTCAGGAAATCTTGAACGTCGGTAAGATCCCGAACATCTTATTTCAGGGGAAAACAAGACAATGCTTTTAACCGATTCTAATGTCGGAGGGTCTATCTCATACATTTACATTACTTGTAAAGAGTTTTAGTCAAGTTTTATATAATGCGAAATTCATTTTAATATTAATAAACGAAAGCTTGTGTTCAAAAATGGAATGGGAACATGCTTTTCATTCAACAATAAACTATTTAAATGAATTCACATAAATATTTTTTTAATTTACGAATAAGCTTTTCACATGATTAATCCAAAATGTTTATAGGCGTTCTTGCAAAACATTCACACGTCACTTCTGATGATTTATATTGGAAAGAAGGACATGAATTATTTGGCATCGTGACTCGCCATAATTGCCTCGCCAATCGAATTAATTCCTTTAGCTCTAGTGTTTTACTGTACGGTTTTTATAATTGATTTCACGGGGTGCCGATAAGTTTCGAAGCGTGTTTATTGTGTTTGTTACAGCCGTTGTTCTAATGAATTTAAAATTTAACCTCATGTCTGAACGTGGGTGGTGCATTGATGTTGTGATGTCTATGGACATCAGTAATAACTTATCATGAGGTGGGCCTCGAGCTCATTTATTCGTCTAAGTCATTAAAACAAATCTGATTTTGGTTTGATTCTCAGGAGTAAGTTCTGATAGTTTTTTTTACATTGATAAAAAAAACAGAAATGTGACAGGCGGAATAAAATATTTTGTATTAATTAATGTAGTATTTTTTATGTCTTCGATTTAATGTTCATACAGAAAAAAAAAAGAAAGTGAATACGTACAAAAATGCCAAGTCTTATATTTTGCAAAAACGGTACTAAAGGCGGTACTACTACTACTACTACTACAGATACTACTTTTTTCTTAGACTACTTTTTGACCGTCCTACTACAACCTATAGAACGTAATAATAATGTAATAAAGTTTTCTGCTAAAATTCATGTCTGTTTAAAAATTGCTGGACAAATAGTTATTCTCGATTTTTGTGCTCTCACTAAGATACCACAAGAAAACCGATTTTATCGCATATAACATTTATGTTTTACTGTATCTAGTAAAAAAAGATTTTATAAGACAATCTCATTTCCAAGTATTTTCGTGAGGTCTGTTCGGACGCGGAGGGCGCATTATTCTCTTTATTAAGGCGACCCTAAGATATTTCGTTTTATTACGACAATTTCTTATATTTATACGTCAAAAAAGCAAACCCGTGTACCTTTGGAGTAATAAAAGGTAATGGTGGTAAGTAAGGTTCAGTATCGTTTTGTTCGAAGCTGAATCTCCGAGGTGATTTCATTCAGGATTATGTCTTCATTCGCGAAAGGCGTTAAAATTAGGTTTTCGTGGCCATTGGCTAGTAGTGCTTTCTCAATTTGTTTGTTCTGTTGTACAGAGCATGCGATGCTTAAGATAGTTCTCCTATTAAATGACAGTTATTAATGGTTAGGTACATATTTGGAGTGTATAAAATGAAATCAAATATGTTTGTTTAAAATCTATATAAGTTCATCGCTTAGATAAAATGTCGATTAATTAGTTTTAATTAATGTTAAGCTATGAATAAATTTAATAACTAAAATTTGGTAGTTATTTTTGGGTAATGAGGCTGATTTGAAGGCATGTAAATATTATTATTGGAAAAAGTCATAATGCACGTTGAAATTTCCATGGCCCAATATTATTACAGTAAATCTTTGAATGAAAATCCCCGAACGTATTACTAGTGAAGGTTTTTTTTCCGAATTAAATTTACCTTTCAGCGCCGCGTCCTTCGCGTCAAAACGTTTGCAATCCGCTTTTTCACGCTCCCATAACTCAATTACGTATCTACAACGCTTTTCACACACCTGAAAATTATTTACTACGGTACTAAATAATAGGGTTCATATTTCTACGGTTACAAAATCGAATGAAAAACTCCCAACAATCATTGAACTTTATACAAACAAAATAAATTAAAAATTATTTAAGAACACGCTGTATTGAAATATTGTCATGCCATAAAGATGATGTACAATCTTCGATCAACAATACTATTGTGTACAATAAATACACTACATAGTATTGTGTTGTTATACTTGATACTTCAATATCATGTTTGAATTGTGTTGTTTACCCCCAGAGTTGTTTACCCCAGATTTTGATGTCGATAGGCGCTGCACTACTTAACACCAGTTGGACTGGTTGCAAGTATAGGTATATTTTCTTCTTGCACGTCAAACAAAGTTGCGTACTGTCAAATCATTTGACAAACATCTAGAGTTGATCAAAATATTCATACATTAACAAGCGCTTACGTATTATTTATGGTCAAAATATGATTTTTATTTAGCGAGACTTCAATATAATGTCAAAATTGACAAAAAACCTAGCAATAAGTTTATTTTTGAAACAAATCCTTTCATTTCCTATAAATTTTTAAATTATTCTCAAAATGAAAAGTCGATCGTTGATGCCTAAAAACCTCGCAGACAGAGTATGTGGCCTTGAATGTGCGAAGGACCAACAGCCGACCGTCGAATTCGTTGGGCCAGTGAAGATAGTTCTCGTCGATCCTTCTAAAAAGGAAAACAGGAGAAAATCGTGCGGGGCTGCGTTTATTGCTTTGGCCAATTTGATGATGGGTGCTTCTAACATTACCATTCTGTACTACACGCTCGGTTTCAAGTTAAAACTATTTGTAAATTTGCACATTGTTTTGTGTACAATTGGGGTAAGTTCAATCGTTTTTTTTATGCGTGCGTGATAGGATAATAGAAACTTTATATAAAGGTTTGAGGAAAGTCTTCAGCGGAAGGCAACGATTCGGCTATTCTTCAGCGATAGGTAACCATTCACGACCATACGAACCAAAAAGGTTGTCTGACTTCAAAAGCAATAAAAAATGTTATATTATGTTTTAGAATATGCGACAACCACCTTTTCTATGATTTGGCAAAGTGAAAGGACAATACGTTTTTTAAGGGTAAGGGTAAGGTTAGGGCTTGTTGTTGCATATCCCGAAATTTAGGGCCTGTATGGACCGCGATAAAAAATTGAAGCTGACGATTCTAATACTATAGTCAAGATTATTAAAACACGCCTTTATTATTTTCGGTTAATGTAGTTTTGTAAGTAGGTGGGTATTTTACAAATCAAACAAGATGAATTGGTTTATTCATGCTATTTTTATTTATTAAAAACATAGATGATTCATTATGTCAATATTATGAAATGTTATAAAAATCTCTTATTAAATTAAAATCGTATGATACGAGGATTTTTGGCAAACTGGATTTGAAACGAATTACACAATGAAAAAAGGCAAAAAAATATTAAATTAAACACATATAGGGTTAAAACAATGGGATAAAAATGCATGAGTATAAAAAAAAATACAAAAAGATTTGTCAGGTGTGGGGTTCGAACCCACGCTCCCTCTCGGGAACCAGAGCTTAAATCTGGCGCCTTAGACCACTCGGCCAACCTGACGACATCTCATATTGGTATATTTAATGGCTGCAATGTACCTGCACAATAAACAAACCGTGGAATTACATGAATAAAAAAATTGTAAATTTTTTTTAAACTGAATATTTAATGTATTGTACTTATAGTTTGTAAATTAAATATGTTTTGCGTAATAAACCTATTCCGATAGACATAAAATGGTAGCACGGAGTACTATTATTCGTAGAGTGCTATGCGACCACAAATTTTGGTATCACTGTCCTGCCTAATTCTGTCGTGAAGAATTCACGCGGTCCAGTCTGAAGTGCGAGATTGGCTGAATTAATTTAATTACTTTGAGAATCGCAAAGTTAGCGGTAACACGATGTGGATTGTATGCGGGCACTAGCAACTGTTTAACATACATCTATCTATGGTAATAAATAAGAATCTCTTAATATTACGATTTATGCTTACTCTTTATTTTATTATTTTACTTAGTTGTTGTATTATATTATACAAACGTGCTCCACAAAGGTCATGACCCTCAGCGCTGAGGAACACGACTCAAGGAGGCTTACTCTAAGAAATTATCAGTTTGCTGATTTGAAGATGTATGTAATCTGAATGTGGTTGTTAATTTCAGTATCAGTTATGTTTCCCTTCGGCGATATTATTGTTGAACAGCCTAAACGGTGCCAGCTCAGGGCTGAAGTTAAAACAAAGGAAGTTCCAGCATTTGTTTCTGCAATTATTCGGACTTGGTTGTGGAGCGGCGGGTTCCGCTCTTGTTTTCTTGGATCATTTTAAAATATCGAAATTTACATTTCATTCCATTACAGGTATTTTGTTTTGATACGATTCATTATGATGATAGCAGTAAAAGTTGATTATGATGTGTTTATTTATTTTTAATTACAATTTAATTTTTAATTAATTTAATTTTTTATTTAATTATTAATTTACTGGTGGTAGGACCTCTTGTGAGTCCGCGCGGGTAGGTACCACCACCTCACTTATTTCTGCCGTGAAGCAGTAATGCGTTTCGGTTTGAAGGGTGGGGCAGCCGTTGTAACTATACTGAGACCTTAGAACTGATATCTCAAGGTGGGTGGCGCATTTACGATGTAGATGTCTATGGGCTTCAATAACCACTTAACACATGGTGGGCTGTGAGATCGTCCACCCATCTAAGTAATAAAAAAAAATTATGATTGAATATAGCTTATAAGCGTGGTGTTTACCAATATCGTATAATGTCACTGACCCTTGACCCCTATGATCAAAGATATCCCGCTCACGCAATTGTACATTCAACAGCGAAAGGCTCTTTAGTTTTTATGATAAGTTAGTTACTAATAGGCTACTATAAGTCGATAGGCCAGATCAGCATATTTCTGATAGGAACTGGAATTGCAGTATGCGGCATTGACCGATTGAACCAAGAGTCAAGCCAATGAAGTAATTTGAAATTTTGAAGACATAGAAACAGCTAAGATGAATCTATACTTATTATTAATTATTAATTAATTATTAATTAATATTATAAAGAGGAAAGATTTGTTTGTTTGTTTGTTTCGAATAGGCTCCGAAACTACTGGACCGATTTGAAAAATTATTTTTCCATTAGAAGCCGACATTGTCCCTGATGAACATAGGCTACTTTTTTTTAATTTTTTTAATTTTATTTTTTTGATTTCATGTGTGTTTTAATGTTTCCGAAGCGAAGCGAGGGCGGGTCGCTGGTAAGAAATAAATTGCGTTTGTTTAATTTCAGGTGTTGCCTCCGGTGGTATTGCAGTACTAGCAGTTTTAACTGGTTTGATAATTTATTGTACCGGCAAAGGAACAGTCGAGGACGTATGTAAGTTTTGCCACATGTCGTATGGAGTACTGTCTTTCATATTGTCTTCGGTTTGTTTCGTTTCGGGCTTGTTAAGACCGGTCTATTCTAAATGGGTGCCGTTGCCCGAAATGTTGGCTTTCCCAATAATATTTTGTGTATTCGTTACTATTGTTGTCGTTTTTGGACCGGTGTATAAAGTTTTAAAGAAAATGGATTATTTTTGAGTTGAATAAAGAAAGTTATGAGTTTGTGTTGTGTTTTATTGGAGTATAATGTTTTCGTTGCTAGTCATTTTGGTTTCATTTTTAACCGACTTCAAAAAAGGAGGAGGTTCTCAATTAGACTGTAATGTTTTTTTATGTTTGTAACCTCATAACTTTTGACTGGGTGAATTGATTTTGATGATACTTTTTGAAGCTGACGCTTCCCGTGTACTCCCATTTCTATTTAGTCCAGTTCTGATAATGGTATCCATGAGAAAACCATATAAGTCTTAAATTTGCATTAAGTACGTGCGCGACAAATAGATAAATAACTCAATAACTCAATATCACGCCAACCGATTTCGATGATTATTGTTTTTAATGTATACTAATTAGTTTTGGAATATATTTTTTTCTATTTGAAGTCGGTTTTTGTTAAAGTATGTCTATTTACAATTATTACTAAACGATATTTGACTAATACTTATATTATAAAATTGTCATAATATAACAAAATCTGAGAGAGAATAGCTCAAATTTTATATGTATTTTTAAAACATTATCGATTTTTAAATAGTTGATTTTAATTACTTAAAGAACTATACGTTACGTATGAAAATCAATGCTATTCAAAATGTCGATTCAATTGTTACTCCCGAGGCTGTAAAGGGCATCCGTAAATCGGTTACAGTACTATTTCTTCTCAGCCGAAGCCAGGTTAAGCCTGAGCTATGCGAGCGGTTTGTCGTCACCTGTGCTGTTACGTCATAGGAGATTTGCTCGTGTTCTTGCATTTATGTGCAATGGCCAGCGTTATCTCCGGAACGGATTTAGCTATTGTTAGTAAAGTGATATTCAGATAAGCCTATGGGATTACCGGTGGATCTTGGAAGCTATTACTCAATTTCATTTCAAGGAAATCGTTTCTTGTAGACGTTATTATTGGCATAAATGATAGGCGGGCTAAAGGTGTACCTGATGCTTAGTGATCATAGATAAAACAGCGTGGTGACGAGAGTTGGGCGTCTTCACAACCAAATAATTTATCTAGAGAGACTATGAATTAGCATTAAGGAATTAGTAATCACTGACAGATGTCGATTTCTTTGTTTTGACTTTACAACACAAGCAATAGCAAATACTGGATTCATAATTCTAACCTATGTTTTCAATGGCTTTACAAACTCTTTTAGCCCGTCACAGATTTTTACTCGCATCGTGTATTATAAAAGGGGTAACAAAGATATTGCGCGCGTAAAGTGGTACTGGTGCTTTGTTCAGCAAAATCTATTTTAGGTTGATCTACGTGTCGTATGATTTCCTTGCTTTCCTCATGTTCGTTGTGTGCCTATATTATGGGTCATTTCAGAAACTGGGCAGACCCTTATGTCCTTTATGTTTTTTATCTATTAACTATATTTTAAAGTTATTCAATGTACGACCAGATTATACATTTTATTTTTTACAATGTATTTATTGTTACTTTGTGACACCTTTTTGTATAATGAAATAAACATGATTAAGCTGTTTAGAAGGACATCAGAAGGCAAATTGGTATGGCAAAGAGAGCTATGTCCCAAATGGACCGTGTTTGGGCGGACAGAAACATCTCGAGGAATACCAAAAAGCAGCTCATCACCTCCCTCGTCTTTTCCTTTTTTCTCTACGGCGCAGAGACTTGGACCCTCAAGAAAGCCGACCGTCGCGTTTGAGATGTGGCGCTGGAGGAAAGTGCTCGGGACTCGTTGGACAGAACACAGAACCAACGAATCCATTCTTACCGAGCTCAAGATTACAATGCGCCTCAGCACTACATGCGCGCGGAGGAGTTTCGAGTTCTTTGGACATATCGCCAGAAAGAGAGGTGACAATCTGGAAAAGCTGCTAGCAACAGGCAAGGTATGCGGAAGAAGGCCCAGAGGCAGAAGTCCAATGCGCTGGTCGGACCAGATACGCGCCACTCTCAATACTTCAGTCCACGTTGCTATCCACACAGCCGAGGACAGGCAGGAATGGCGCAAGATAATACAGGAGAAAGTTATTAGAGGAGGCCACGACCCCAAGCACTGAGGATTATCGACGCAAGGAGGAAGAGGAAGCTGCTTAGAACATTTCATTTTTTTGGAAAAAATTAAAGATCAAGCTAAGGCTGCGATTGTGCTGCCGGTCATGACATATGGCGCTGAAACGTGGACATTAACCGTAGGTTTGGTCCGTAAGCTCAAAGTCGCTCAGCGTGCTATGGAAAGGTGTATGCTCGGAGTTTCTTTGATGGATCGAGTCAGAAATGATGAAATTCGTCAAAGAACCAAAGTAACCGACATAGTCCTAAAGGTTAGCAAGCTGAAGTGGCAATGGGCCGGACATACGTGTCGCAGAACCGATGGCCGATGGAGCAGACGTGTTCTGGACTGGAGACCGCGTACCGGTAAACGCAGCGTTGGGCGTCCCCCTGCCCGTTGGACCGATGACTTGCGGCGATATGCTGGGAGAGATTGGATGCGGAAGGCGGAGGATCGTTCATTGTGGCGGACTATGGGAGAGGCCTACATCCAGCAGTGGAGAGATACAGGCTGATGATGATGATGATAAGGCTGCGAATTATAATAATTTAAACAATAATTGAAAATTAATTCCGATTATCACCGCTACTTATGCAGGATTGTCAAGTTTTGTAGTTTGTAATAATAATATACCCTCATTACCTAATTGCGAAAGTTTGATAGAATTAGGTGAAATAATTTAAAAAAGTGCTTAAAAGAACGTGCGAAATCTTTTTTTCGCCATCACATATGTACCTACGTACGTACATTTGTGCAGTCTTGTGTATTGCGTAAAGTTAAAGTTTTCTCATTTAGTCCAGAGCTGCACGTAAATTTTGTAACATCTAAATATGTTGATAGTGTTTTCGACACTGCAAAGTGTTTCAGCTTATAAAGTTTAAACTCTATATACGTTTGTTGTTTTCTTGTTTAAATTGGATTTGGTTTGTTTAACTGTTCAAAATAACTGGGTGCGCCATTCGGATGCGTGTTTCAGGAATTGTTTGGGAGATTAATAAATTTGGGGTTTAATGGTGGTAGAGCAGTTTTACAATTCAGTGGAGGTTTCTTGTCTCATTATTCTTCTCGCTTCATGGTTGAAAAAAGTCGCATATGTCTATGGGCTTCGACAACCAATTAACACCAGATTGGACCGTGACTTCGTTCACCTATTTAAGCAATAAGTAAATATAAGGTTAAATCTAAACACTTTATGTCATCGTTCATACCTGGCTTAGTTTCTTTGAAGTAATAGAAATTGAAGAAAAAAACTGACTTTGACTGATGACTGACTAAGATGGGCACACAAGCTCTCACAGTCTGTAACTTGGATAAGCCTGATAAAATAAGTTATCAACAGAACTGTAAATATGTCTTGCGAGAAAATGAATAAGTAAGTAAGAGATTTCTTAAAGAAATAAGCAGTGCCTTTGTACATAATTTTCCTATTACTCTGTATTATGTCTTCTTTTCTGTGTGTACATAAATAAAATAAATAAAAATAAATAAATAAATAAATAAGTCTAAGATAGTGTAAACGTAGTAACCACTAATTAATTAAAGATAATAGACTCCATTGCATTGGTACAAAGGCTGTCCTGCTCATCAAACCTCAACGCTTAGCTTCTTGGCAGCAACAGGCAGGGCCCGTCGATCCGTCAAAATTTTCAGTCAGTATGTTTTTAATTATTTTGAACATGCTTTCACTAGCGAGACATGCTATATTTCGGAAATATTTTAACGTAATTTAAAAAAACTTCAAAACTTCCGAATAACCTGAAAATCTGCACACGTATCAAGAATCTATGACAATACAATAATTTTATTATTTTGGATATTCTTTCTAGGATTACCAGAGGTAAGAATGAGTTTTTAGTTCGTCTTGCTACTAGTCAAAAAAACAAAAATTTTTTAGATGTCTTTCTAATAAATCCTGACATAACGAAGCAATAAGCATTATACACTTTTATTTAATAATCTTCAATTATTTGTTTATTATTTAAAAAGATATATATAATCACTTTATATTTTATTTTACTATAATATAATTGAAAGTACGTTTTATTGTTCACGTATTTGAATAGATATGTTATTTTTATAGCATGATAAGTTTTGAATCATTCTTACTATGATAATGAGTTATTTAATTGTAGTAGATTATTATTTTTTGTTGCCATTGACATTGATGTTCATTACAATCTGAACTGGTGCTAATACTTTTATTTACAAACACAACAAACCAACAACGATTTTAATTAATGGAACCGAGTAGTTTTACGGTTATGATCTTATTTTTAAAGTCTCACCTATACTTAAATTAATTTAAGGTGTACTTAATTTTTACTTTAAGAAATTAAATGCATATTATATTATTATGAAGTATATAATAATAACAAAGAACACTGAAAATATATTAGTATATTGAACCTTGGTGTAATTTAATTAAAGTTGCAACAAAAATAAAATTTCTAATTGATCGTAAATATGCCCTGTTGATGTACGTATTAAATTTTGCGTAAATCTATTAGTAGGATGAATTGCGAGAGTTTTTGGAGCCCAAATGGATAGGTTTCACAATTTTGTCTATTTCTACAATTGATTTCGATCAGTACCTCAAAGATGGCCGCAGCATTCATTCTGTCGTTTCTATGGGTTACGGAAATTACATTCGGCGAGTTTGTTTACACAACTACATGACTATAAAGGACATGTGTAATCGAAATCGATTTGTATTTGTTTAGATTTTGTCAGCAATCGCTTAGAATTTGTTTGATAGTTTATAGAACGAAGATATTGAGTAAAGGCTATTTACGACTAAGCCGTCCTTCACTTCAGTGTGCTTAGTGCGAGTTTTTTAACGTTTTCGATAGCGTAAAAGTTAACCCAATTTTGTATGCAGTTGGAACAGCGCCCCTAACGGCAAACGTAGGCAAACGATCACATTCCATACAAAAATATGAGCTAACTTTTACGCTATCGAGAACGTTAGAAAACTCGCACTAAGCACACAGATCAAAATGCGAATAGAATTTGAATATCACCGCAGTAGGCCCCCGGTCAAAGGTGTACTTATGCGCACCACGTGTCACATATTTCAACGGATATCAGGAAACGAAAACTGAAAACGGTGAAGTCGTTCATATATTATACTTTTTAATAATAAATATGGTGAAGTAATTTAAGACATCCGTTACATCCGACACATCCGTTACTTTTAAATGTTTTTTCTTTGTTATGGATTTGAAATGTAAAATATAACACCCATTAAATTTTTGGGATAATGTCTTTATTGAAGTCGGTTATAGATAAATGCATAGTATATGAATAAGGGTTCCGTGATTTATCTGCTAAAACTGATGAATCTGATATTGTTACTTTTTGGTTTTATTCCAAAATCAAGTTTGGTTTATTTGTATCTGGTAAAATATTTATTCTGTTTAACAAGAAATTAGTTCGCAGCAAATTTTTTAATAGTCCACGCTAACTTGCTCGCGGCTCACTTGGTTTTTAGTGTTTTTTGAATATATATGATAAAAAATACTAATAAAATAGCTTTATTTGATACCATATTGGAGCTATATTAATTTAGTATTTAATAATTATATTACTGAGTAACTATAATAAATCTACTAATCATGCAATTTAATCTCCTTCTAATGTGGACCCACTCAGGGTAAAAACCTCCTCCAAACAATTCACTTTTTTCCTGATCTTTAGCAGTGGTCATTGAGGCTCTTCTTGTTTGGATACAATCTCGTATTATCTCGTAATTCAGTAGAATTTTCAGTATATTGGTAAGGGTTTATATAATGGAAATATGTATGTACATATATATTATTAATAAGACTACCGTCGCACAACTCGCGTCTTGGTGGGATGGTGAAAATTATCCTTCCGACCTCACTATAACTCACCATAAAGGTAACGAGAATGCAAAGTGCCAAGTCGCTTTAGCTGGTCAAGCGTTTGGTGAACTTCATTACGCTATTAGCTGATTTATTCTAGTTTATGTGATTGCTTTAATCATGAGAAAAGTTTTACCTGCTAGAAAGTGGCTCTTTCACTCAATTCCATTCTGTTTAATTCTAATTTAGTTAATGCAAAAACATCTCAGATAGCAAAATAATTTACTTTTTCACACAATATTCCGATAAGAAGTAACTAGTAACTAGTGATACCTTAATCCGTTTTGGAACTCAAAATCGATTGAGTCGATTTTGAGTTTCAAATTGAAGATAAGGGCAGGCAATTGAAGATAGCGTCACCCGCTTAAATTACGTAAGTAGGTAAATGAAGATACTACAATAATATATTATCGAGTTAGGTCCTAACTTCGTGAGTTTCCACCGATAGTCGAGAGATATTTACGTTTCTAAAACTACTTTAAGGTGGTCACGGAAGACAGTTACGAAAACTGCCAAGTAATCACGAAGTCGGAACTAATTTAATGACAATAATAAATGTGAGATTGAATCGTAAAAGTAGTTTTATTTTTTTACGACTTGTGAAAATCGACTAGATATTATGTTTTTATGAATTGGAATCCTTTTTTTAATGGATACCTTTATCGCCACTTATTATAAACAATACTGTAATTAAATTAATTTATAAAATGATATATTTATTATAAGTATGTATCTAATTCCTAGAATATGTTGTGCATTTTATCGGTATGAATGTGAATATAATTAAAATGAGCAGTATGAAATAAATAATATTAGCTCTTATCATAACAGTTTCCTATCTGTATCCGCTGCAAAGCTATAGGATTCCGGTTGAAGGCCGAGCTAACCTTAACCTTACAGTTATTACTTCCACTGTCCGGTGGCCTTCATCATTATACTGTACAGACGCGCACGAGCTTGGACATTTTCCTTTCTTGCATGTGGTCCAGGCTTGTCGACCCTAGAATGTTTTTAGAACCCTACCCACGAAATGACTCCTCTTGCAATCTAGGTAGAGTAGGGGGATTCCTGCGGTCGACACTATAACCAGACTCGCGGCGCCACCCCGAGGAAGCCCTCAGTCAATCAACAATTGAAACGGAGAATCCTTCGTCACAACGTAGTAAAGAGATAATGCATACTTTGACACATGTCATAGCGACATTTGTCTTGACAGACCGAAGCCCGATCGACGGCTTGCTTTTCTACAGTACGTCCGGTGATGACAGTAACACCTACCGTTGTGTCGTCCCATCCTTCGGGTTCCAGCTCGCTATAGTGACCGTAGCTTTTGGCCAGCCTCGGTTCCCTCAGGTCGCCCCGGGACCGTTAACGAAAGGAGAAAACCTCCTCACATGAGTTTGCGCCTAAATCAACGATACTTAAAACAAAAATAATGAGTTCTATGATTATACACAATAATTAATCTAAATTCAAGTCACATGTCGAATTTAATTTTAGAATTACCCTCACAGTCCTTGATTTCAAACATTAATGGTCGCAACAATACTCTATTCCGGAATGTGCGTATCGTAGGCCATTACTCTTCTCGGAGTTACCTTTATATGTTTTGATGCCATAAAGATAGGTGGGAGCGTAGCAAGTTGTTATCCAGTGTGATCGGTTGCCTGTTCCCAATCGAATATACCGATATGGCTTTTTGTGTTACCGAGCGCTTCTTTCTATTCATATTTTCTGAATAATGCAAACAACAAACAATCGAGCACGAACAGAAAAGAAAACAAAATCGTCGAGGTTTTTCTCTTGTAGAAATATATTTAGTTTGGCTTATTACGAATTAAGAATTGTTTTAAATTTAATAAAGACTAGTTTTTTTTGTTTATTTAACTGAATCTCCTTACTTATTGTTTTCTATCAACGATATGTATTTTTTTGTATGTGCTGTTTTGAATATTTTCGATTTATTTCGTCCTCATTAGTCTATACGTGTGTGGGTATATAAGTTCGCATAATGTGTGTGTGCGTATGTCAGTTGGCGGAGTGTGTGTGTTAATAAAGATTTTAGAATATTTTCAAAGTCTAATTTGGTGGTGCAGTAGTAGAGTTGTGGGCTTGATTCCCACGTGGGGCAATCATTTGTACAACTAATTGGCTATTAAGATTTTGTAGCCAAATTGTTATGACGGTTCATTCTACTTATTGTGGTAAACGATTATTATATAATGTAGGTTCAGAAAAGGAAAGCATTCTCAATTCTAGTCAAGGTGAGACATTTAATAGTTTTTGAAAAAAATCACCAAATTCGAAATATACTCTTCATTTCTTTAGCAATTGAAACATTCTCGTCAGTACAAAATACATTTTTATTAAAAGAAAAAAAATTGATTACTGTAAATTCAATTCAATGAAGCTCATAAGAGTATTACTAGTTAATATAATTTATGATTTTGTTGTTCAATCGATTCGCTCATCAAATTTAATCTCTTCAGATGAAAGTATTATCATTATAATCATCATCATAAATGTATACAGAATTTTTATAATTTAAGCATTATTTAATTTATCTTATAATGAATGTATTTACGATTTAAAACATTTCCATAATTTGACAAGAAAAGTCGTAAATGAGTTGAAGCTGATTATTACTGTGAATGCGCTGGTACAACCGATTAAAGTGAAAGCAACTTCATCTGAAATCCAGGACTTAAACATGCTCTTATCAAAGCCGTAACAAAGTGCAATGGATGACGTCGGCAACACGAAGATGCCAATGCCAATGTGAATTAGTTTGGATACATTGATTGGAATATATCTTCGCAGTTCAAATGCCCAAAGGGATCCCAGGCCGTTGATTAAACTCACAGTCGTCAAGACGAGGGCAGCTATAGCTGAAAATAACAGACAATGAAAAGATTATTTTGTCCCTGTGGAGCGAGAATTAACTAAGTCTAAAAAGTGTGTTTTGAGATAATCGCATTTGAAAGTTCGGAAAATTGAAATGGACATAATTTGCTTCAGGTAAGTCAGTTTATCAAAATTGTTATACTGCTTTGACGAAAATGTAGTATTTTTTTTACGAAATAAAAATAGTAAGCTGCAACTAAAATAGAAATTGATTAAAAAAAATTTGATCTATTTTATTCTACGTATCTATGAGTTAGTTAACTGTCGACCNAGATAATCGCATTTGAAAGTTCGGAAAATTGAAATGGACATAATTTGCTTCAGGTAAGTCAGTTTATCAAAATTGTTATACTGCTTTGACGAAAATGTAGTATTTTTTTTACGAAATAAAAATAGTAAGCTGCAACTAAAATAGAAATTGATTAAAAAAAATTTGATCTATTTTATTCTACGTATCTATGAGTTAGTTAACTGTCGACCTGAGTTAGTGTATCATTAATATTCGAAACAGAAACAAAATTACTTACGCTAATGCAATAAAATGGTAAAAAAGTAAAAGGGTTTTTCGCATTTTCCTTTTTGTATAAATTACGTATCAGTTGAGAACGAGAAATCAACAAGTCGAGTTGGTTAGTTTTCAGTTTGTATTTTTTTCGCTTATATGTTGAACATGTGTTGAACTGAATCTTCCAAATCCAAAATAAGTAAATTGCATTAATGAATTATGGAAGCAGGCTGTACCACATATATTATTTTTACTGGTGGTAGGACCTCTTGTGAGTCCGCACGGGTAGGTACCACCACCCTGCCTATTTCTGCCGTGAAGCAGTAATGCGTTTCGGTTTGAAGGGTGGGGCAGCCGTTGTAACTATACTGAGACCGTACAACTTATATCTCAAGGTGGGTGGCGCATTTACGTTGTAGATGTCTATTGGCTCCAGTAACCACTTAACATCAGGTGGGCTGTGAGGTCGTCCACTCATCTAAGCAATAAAAAATAAATAGGAAAATATTTATTTAGGTTTATGTAATATATTTTCTTTGCATGGTGCTGTCTATAGTAATACATATATTAGTTAGTTTTACTCTATGGGGACGATCTATCTGCGGTTCTTATCAAAGAATTTCGAGGCTACTTTAAACTAATTTATCGAAGCAAACAACTTTACTATATGACTTAGAATATAGGCACCTCAATTTTGTAGCTCTCTTCAGAGGTGACTGAACTATTCTCCGGAGACTGGGCATCAGCGTGCTCTTTACTGGTGGTAAGGCGTACTGTAAGCTCTCACGTATTTTTTTCGTGGAGAGTCATGCGTTTCGGTTTGAAGGGTCGGATTATATAACTCAATTGAGACATCGGCCTCAAGTTTCAAGGGTGGCGGCATTCATGTTCTAAAACCGATGCGGTAAGCACTCAACACTAAATAGACCGTGAGCTCTTTCACCGATCTACGCAATAAAATAAAAAAAAACAAGTGTATTATTTTACACACAGGATTAACGTGAAGGTCTTACCAAATTTCCCGTGTAAGGTATTCAAGTGCGTGCTCTTGTCTATAATTTTAATGAAAGATCCAACAATAGCCAATCCAGAGCCCAGCGTCTGAAGAATCCAGTGCGCACGTCTTTTGTCCACTAATTTCAGGTTTGAGGACCAACCATTGTGCGGAGACAGACTCAGAATGGCTTCAGCCATTAATAATTGGTACTGAAATTTTATCACAACTGAAATATGCAAATTTAAAAGGTATTGCAGAATAACCTGACTTTGATTAATACGCTGCCCACCTATTTAGAACAGTTTTTAATATTAATGCTATTAGGCTGAAAAAAGCACAATGTACAATATATTTATAATGTTTTATATTGATCATTATTAATGATCAACAACAAGGACATTGTTAGTTCATATTGTTATGCTAATGATGTTAGTAACATGCCTTCGATTACACACAAACGGACAGTATATCTGACGTTAGGTGGTTATCTTAATTAAGTTTGTTTTTATTGTCTTTGAAGGCATACGAGCATACAATGCACCTGATGGTCAGGAGCTACCTGGTGACGTCAGTGCTCATAAACGTCAACAAGACCAGGGGCAGAATTAAGGCTGCCCAAGTTCACTAAAAGCTTCGAAAAAACTTACCCCCACAACGCATAGTACGATATGCAATGGTGTCGCACCCAATGGAGTTCCATTACGAAATGAAAATATCACAGAAATACCCACGACAACTCCTATCAGTATGTGAGTTATTAGATTGAAAGTACTGTGAAATATTTTTATTTTATAATTATCATCATGCACTGTAACCGGCGGTGAAGCTGATCTTTCCGAAACCTTCGGAGACATTTTGTTTTGAGACAGAAAAACAAAATAAACTAACAAAGCCGAGATGAAATTAAATCAACCACATATCTGCGTTAGCTACAGTACGGTTTTTTTCCTTTACTTCCACTTGTGATAATGTTTTAGTTAGATATTTTCATCTGGTTTTGTTTTGAGAAAAATAGCATTGAATCTAATTTAAACGTTAGCAATATTTTATTTTTAGAAATAGGCAGTTAAATAGGAAATTCAATAATTTTAATGGATAACAACGACAAACCGTTTCTACAGTACTCGTTCTAACTTCTGGTACAGGAATCACGACGTATATTAGGTTCTACTACCTAGCACTAGATGATTTCGGATTGCTAACAATTTTTCAAACTCACAACCTCATATTTTCATCTATTTTTGGTCATTTCAAATTGATTCTGATTTCCTCTGTTTCAATTTTTAGTATCTCATTTTTTTTTGAATTCGAAAACAGTTGTAGAAGAATAGCAAGTGACATTTCTACAAATTTCAATTGTGCCATATTATAAAATGAAAAATTTTGTCTCTCTCAATATGGTTTGTTACATATTGACACACATTTTATTTTGATGACTGAGTTCTGTTGCACTTTTAAATGTAGCTTCTACACATCTATCTGCACGCATATCTATCTATCCTACACATCTTTCGTGATTTGTTTTTAAAAACTATTCACTTAAAATGTATCAGGGCACCCGACAAGCTTATTTTTCTTAGTAAGATTACTAGCAGGCGTAGAGTGAGAATACATGGCCTGGCGTCCCATATCGATTATGACGACCAGACGATATCTGATGATTTCTTTATCATGGCTGAAAATATCAAAAGGTTAACCTGCATCAAGACGGTTGAACAGTTTTTCTGGTTTTCAAAACTCCCCTTCAGTATTGGAGTGAATAGTGAAGACGAAGACGTGTTATTTCAATTCGTAAGAGATGTCTGTAATATATGTATAAATAAGACTAGTAAAGGAATATTTTGCAAATGCTACAAATTTTTAAAGGGAAAATGAGGGAATAATAATTTGGTAGCTGTCCTACCCTTCAAAACGGGATACATCACAGTTTTCCGGTAGAAAAAGACAGGAGGCGGATCTACCCATACCGCCTAATAAGATGTTTGGTTGATAACATTTATAGTTTAAGCTGTAAATTATAATTTAATGCGGAAACATTACTATATACTATTAAAAAAATGATAAACCAACAATCATTTTTAACTATACTTATTCATTATCTCTGATAAAATATTGGTTGACGTAGACGTGTAAGCTATATTTATCTGTGTGAATTATTGATGATACCATTTTCGATAAGATTAAATTTTAGACAAAAGATAGTTTTTGCAAATTGCATTGTAAATATTGTTTTATTTTTAATTTAAAGTATATCGGCATGAAATATCTTGGTTACAGAATTTTTAGTCACAACTTTGAGAAATTGGGTTCGGGATACTGTTATATAGGAATAACTGTTCCACTTTTCGAATCGTAACGTAGGTTCTTTACAGGAAAGAGAGTGGTGGAGGAAGGTGGTGGTGGAAGAAGGCTTTTAACTCATTACAAGCCCTAATATCAGCATGGTAAGACTCATTATCTAATTTTGTTAAATTTTAATTAATGTTAACAATAAAGTGTTTAATAAGCAATGGTGCTAGCTTATCACGTTACTTTTTATAAAAATATAATAGAAACGACAAAATAAAACTGTCACAAGCAATTTTTAAAAATTTATTTCTCTTAACTATTTCGCCATCATACATTAAAATTATGAATACGAATCTGATTATGTGTTCTTAACTGTAATGATTTAATAAATAACATAAAGTAAAAGGTCTCTATCAGATCATCTTATAGTTGCTTTCTGGAATACATATAATATTTGCTTTTACCGATTTATGAATTTCTTATACATGATAAGTAATGCTGTTTACACCATAATTGATGTTCCAACTAACTGGTGATAATGCTCCTTGATTTACGATAGAAAGTTATGAAAGGATTGATTATGATGATAAATGTGAATGCCGCAGTAAAAGCGATTATAGTATAAGTGAATTCAAGAGTGGCCCAATTTATGAAGAAGCTTTTATCGAAACCATAGCATAGGCTAATGGAAGAAGCAGCAAAGGCGACTGTTCCGAAACAAATGTGACTCAGTTTGGATAGATTGCTTGGCAGGAACTTCCTTAGTTCATATGCGTACAAAGATGTCAATCCGTTTACCAAACTGACGGCCGTAAAAACCATAGCAACGAGCGCTAAAAATAAAGAAAAAAATGTTAATAATCCAGATGATTCTCAAAATTATTAAATTGNGCTAATGGAAGAAGCAGCAAAGGCGACTGTTCCGAAACAAATGTGACTCAGTTTGGATAGATTGCTTGGCAGGAACTTCCTTAGTTCATATGCGTACAAAGATGTCAATCCGTTTACCAAACTGACGGCCGTAAAAACCATAGCAACGAGCGCTAAAAATAAAGAAAAAAATGTTAATAATCCAGATGATTCTCAAAATAATTAAATTTTATACCCGCATAGATGAATTTCAGTAATTGTATGTAAATTGTATTATGTATGTAAGTTTGAAGTCGTCGTGGCCTAAGGGATAAGAAGTTCGCTGCATTAGTATATAGCGATGCACCAGTGTTCGATTCCCGCCGGCAAGTACCAATTTTTGTAATGAAATACGTACTTAACAAATGTTCATGATTGACTTCCACGGTGAAGGACTAACATCATGTAGTAAAAATCAAAGCCGCAAAACTATAATTTGTGTAATTTCTAGTGGTACGAAGTCCATTGTGAGTCCGCACGGGCAGGTACCACCCTGCCTATTTCTCCCGTGAAGCAGTAATGCGTTTCGGTTTGAAAGGTGGGGCAGCTATTGTAACTATACTGAGACCTTAGAACTCATATTTCAAGGTAGCTGGCGGCACTTACGTTGTAGATGTCTATTGGTTCCGATAACCACTTAACATCAGGTGAGCTCGTTCATCCATCTAAGCAATAAAAAAATAAAAAAACGTACCGAATTGTCCGTGGTATGTGTTCCAGTGTATATTTTTGTCTAGGATTTTAATGAAACTCCCAACAATAGCAAGAACAGATCCAACGATTTGTACGATCCAATGAATTCTTCTTTTGTGAACTAATTTGAGTCGTGATGACCACCCACTTTCCGATGACAGAATTATAATGGCTTGGGCCATGAGCAGTTGATACTGAAATCAAGCGATAGTTAAAATAAACAATCTAATTTCAATCAAATAATTTATACACTACGAAAACCTTGGACTATGTTATCATAATAATTGAAAATAATCATTTTTTCTAACTCACCCCAATGACACAAAGTATAATATGAAGTGGCGTGGCACCTATAGGAAGTCCATTCCGCAATGAAAATAGAATTGAGATTCCAGTAACTACACCAATTAGTATGTGAGCTATTAAACTTAACGAAGACTGGAATATTTTTAAATTATCATTTTCTTCCACAACATTATCTGGGATGGCGTGTGAAATTGCTGGTTTGGCAGCAGCAAATTCTGGATCAGCTTGAATTGGCGGGTCGATAATATTTGGCGGCATGATTGTAGATATACGAACACTAACTTTCGCACTTGTGGCTCGCTAGAGAGCTAAATGAAAATTGACGTATATAATTTCGTTTTTAACGTACCATACGGATGAGATAATTATATCGATTTTAAGTAGCTTGCTTGAGTGATATAATCTATTTTGCGATAAGGTAACGTTGTGAATAAACTTGCAAATTATATAAGTTTGTGTTTTTGATTAGGTCTGCGATCCACACTCTTGCAAAATTTCTGTTTCGGAAATCTGCAGTCTTATGTCAACTCCACAGGTGTTGCTACTGTTTCCATGCCTTGTTCTTTACTATTTATGGTTATAAGGGAGCCACCCTCCAGGATGAAGATTTAATTGTACTGTAAAAATAGCTGTTTTTATCCTTGAATTTAAACGCATCACTGCTTTTCAGAAGAAATAGGCAGGAGGAGATTTATCTATACACCCAACATCCATGAAAACACATATGTATTTTAAGTACGTATTTATTTATAACAATAATATATGTCATCTTGATTTACCCTTGCAAAGACACGAAGCATTTGATACGAACAAGTCTCTGGTATTACTGATGACCTATAGTAACTACTCATTCGGCCGTAGATATAACTACTAAGGTAAAACAAAAACACCCAGATCAATCTTTTTACCTATGGTAGGTCAAGAATGTTTTTAGGTGCGAACTATTTTTCATCATAGGTTGCCTTGGAGTTTCGTTAGTTTAAATAACATCTAAACAATAATAAAATTAAATGATGACTGGGAACAAATCACGCACGGTCAGCCGACCCCAAATTAGAATTCTGTGTTATGGGTACCAGAGACACACATACGAGTTACATACATTTACATATATAGATAACTAGCAGCAACTGTCTTTAACAAAAATTTCAACGATATTTGACGTTGTTTTATTTTTTTAAATAAAAGAACACTTATTGCGGCACAACTATAATAGTTAGACAAATGCTGTCGCGACGCTTTCTATAAATAGTAATGTGTTCTACAAAGTCGTAGTACATTATTTTATTCTATCATGAACGATGTAATGAATATTTTAGGAAATTTTTTTACACCTTGGGTTACATTATTGGAGTTTGAATAAGGAATACTAATTTTTTTCAAAAAATTATAGCCTATGTCACTCGGGAATAGTGTAGCTTCCAAACAGTGAAAGAATTTTTCAAATCCGTTCAGTACTTTCGGAGCCTACTCAATACAAACAAACAAACAAATCTTTCCTCTTTATAATATTATTATTATTATTAAAGAATAGATAAACACCCAGACGGAGAACAAACCAAAATGTTCGTCACACGAAAGTTTGCCCGATGTGGGTATCGAACCGACAACCTTCGACGAAACAATCAGGGGCGCTAACCACTGCATCATCGAATCAGTCATCAGTTTCACTTTTGGGTATCGTCTTATGTGCATTTAAATTCAGTAGAGAAACCTGTGGAGATTACGTTTATAGTTCTAAGCTTACATTGATGTTTTCTTAGTGCTGGATCGAATTATTTAATTTAATTAACTACTACAATATTTTCTTTTCATTTTACACGAATATTTTACATCTATTGAAAATATTTATTTAGCATACGAAATGTAATTTTTAACGATACAGTAATGACGTTGATTGAAAAGAATTCAATTTAGAGATATAATTTGATTGAATACAGATAATCAGACTTATCAGCAGCCGTAATTATCTTATCAAAGGTATGCGTTGTTAGTTTTTTTTTTTTTTTTTTTTTTTTTTTTTTTTTTTTTTTTNTACCACGAACACAGAAACAACAAAAGGAAACAAAACAAATAAAAACTTCCAGAAAGAGCACTTAGTCGGCAGATGTACCACAAACACAGGCCGCGCGAACAATGGCCGGGCTAACAAAAGCCGGGCGAACAAAGACCGGGCGATCGAGTGGACGATGAGCACGTCCGCACGTGACGGGTGCCTCTATCGGAATCGCGTTGTTAGTCTAGAGTGCTCGATAGTATGAAATAAGGGCCGCAGCTTCTAAAACAAATGATATAGGCAGAAGGAATTATGAAAATAACAGGACTGTATTTAAAGAAGATCGAAGCATATTAAATAAATTGGAGCAAGCCTCTGCTTTAAAAGTGAATATGAAAGTACTTAGGAAGTAAAATAATGTAAAAGTTAAAATAATTGTTTTTATTTGTAGTTCAAGCAGTAAGTGGTAGGCAGTGGCTTGACAAACGGTAGGCAGCGGCTTGGTTCTGCCTCTGGCATTACTGGCGTCCATGAGCGACGGTAACCACTTATCATTAGATGGGCCGTATGCTCGTCTGCCTACAAGGCAATAAAAAAAAGATGTTCTATCATTAACCACAGGTAAGTGTAAACAGATAGTATTGAGTCACAAAATTAAATTTATTTCCTTCCATCAATATCTTGGTCACGTCCATTGGAGCTATTGAATTTACTATGGTTGAAATTCGCCATGGTTCGGTACATATTATGTATAGGTTTAATAGGTTGAATGTAGGTCAACTGTGATTTGCATATTTAATGATTATTGTTTTGATACTGACTAATGGAGCTAAGCCTCTTATGGCTTAGATGTGGCTTAGATTACAAGAGGTAACGAGGATAGTTGCTTTGTAGAGATATAGTCGTGGTATTGCAGATGTTATATTAGGAAGATTGTATATGGCACAAAAAAAGGACTTCCGACGGTGTCCAGCCCGGTGGTAGTGCGGGAATGGGAGCCCATCAAAAATCGCCTAAAGTGGATAGTCCAGAAATGACAATTAGACAGATCATTCTGCATTAACGATAGACTCAATCATTATTTATATTCCTCATTCGACTGTGGGTATGTAACTCAGCTACTAGTAATTACCGTTTCTATATTATTTTAATTCTTTGATGAGAGCAGTATTCTGGTCAAGGCAAATTGATACATTGAAAAAGATGTCGCATTTAATTTTTAAAAATATTCTGACCGAAGAGATGTAGTACGACCAAATAGATATCATAATATTAATGAATGCACATTTAAAATTAACAGCTCCTAATTATGAGCATTTCTGTCCAAGCCTCACGTACTTTTCTGTCTTTGAGAAAAACAAATCATAAACGGATTATTTATATGCTACCTTAGTTCGAGACTAAATTAAAAATGTCCAATGAACAAAAAAAAGTGACGGTACAATTATTGTATTGCCGCTTTAGTATTGTTGCATGAATCTCATAAATTACATTTAGCTTATAATTTACTGCTCTCATGTTTATAACGACCTATGACCCGATTGGCCATGAAAGTGGCTCACCTATTTTCATAAAGGTAATTTAACATTATGTTTAACTGCCGACGTGTTTATTACCGAGAAAGTTATTCTGAAACAAATACATATTCATGCGTATTCTGATTGTGTTTCTTCACTGAATTGGTGCTAGTACTAAAGTATTCTGTGATATTTTATACTTATCTATATACAGTACGATACGGGTATTAGAGTAGCATTGTATTGGTGATATACATAATATGTATTTATTATGTTTTTTTTAAAAAAAAATTATAGCTTAGATGGGTGGACGAGCTCACAGTCCACCTGGTCTTGAATGGTTACTGGAGCCCATAGACATCTGCAACATAAATGCGCCACCCTGCTTGAGATATAGGTTCTAAGATCTCAGTATAGTTACAACGGCTGCCCCACTCTTTAAACCGAAACGCATTACTGCTTCACGGCATAAATAGGCGGGGTGGTGGTACCTACCCGTGCGGACTCACAAGAGGTCCTAGCTTCAAGAGGTTAAGGTCAAGGCCAAGGTCAAGGCCAAAGTCAAGGCCAAGACCCACTTCCGGGTCATAGTGCCAGCGCAATAGTAGTAGTTGTATGGTGCGAAATACTAGTATTAGGGCGTATAATGAGGGCTGCCCTGAAGTGCAGACATAAATATTGGTACCATCCAGGTACCAACGGTTGTTTCTGTGGCGAAGCAATTGTGTGAAGTAATTCGGAAGTTGGGAGAGACATTTTTGCGATGGTTACAGTGTATATTACAACTGATAGTGGAAATCTTATAACATAAGGTGGACGGCGACACTTGTGTTCTGATGTTAATGGAGTAGGATAACCAATTACGTTCTTTAATATTTTCTTTTATAAGATTAATAGGGTGTGGCAAATTAATTTTTTAACCGTATACCTTCGAAAAATTATTGATATTATTAGTTTGTACCAGTGGATTTGTTTGAGCATGAAGAACATGCTTAAAATGGCCTCATTAATTTGAAAGTTACGAAATCACACAGCCCCATGAAATAAAACCAAGATACAGAAATGTGTATGGTTATAGGTATATGTAAAAAATTTGAATATATTGTATTTAACAAAAACATTACAGATTAGCGGTTTTATTAAGTTCGACGAGTACCACGAATACCTGCTTGCGCATATAAATGTAAGCACAATAGCTATGTCAGAAATAAAGGAATACATACAAATTTGCAAATGTTTTCCATTATGAAATGACGCACGCCTGAACAACGGGCAGGCCTCACATAATAAACCGGCATCGGTCAGCACAATTAAGGGGTCCCATTTGGACCTTTGCTAATGGAATTAAATCCAATTAGATTTTAGGGTTACGAGGTGAAGTTTGCCGACGGTAAACAAATGGCTTTCTATTACGACTTACACCTGCTGTTTTGGGCTACTCGTCCGGAGATAAATTTGTATCTGTTCGTTTTCATGAATGACGTTTTTGCCGTTTAATTAGTTTTGTTTTAATTGTTGTTCAAATTGTTGAAACAAATTACTTACTTAGAACAAAAATCGTACCGTTCATGAAACATCGGATACCGAATAGTAAAAATGAGATGGATTAAAATTATCTTACGCTATTTAAAATAACAGCCCGGGCCTGAGCGTAGTTTGCTACGCGGAAGACACGTGGGTCGTGGCCCGGGAAAAGGACTTTAGCGAATCTCTCCGCCTTTCCTGTGCGGGTTAGCCTTTGTCGT